GTTTTGTTTTGTTTTGTTTTTTGTTTTTTTCTAATTGATGCATTTATTTGAGATTTTCAGCTAGATGGTTTCAAGGCTTTGAAGCCATAACTAAGCTTAGAAAATACTTTAAAACCAGGCCAATTTGCTTTTTCTCTTAATCTAAGGAATGTGGTTTTTCATGTGTTTGTCATTTTCTTTTCTACCTTCAGACAATACCAGGACTTCCTGGAGGACCTGGAGGAAGATGAGGCATTGAGGAAAAACGTCAACATCTACAAAGGTGAGCAGCTTTTGCACAGTTTGTTCTGCGACTTTGATGTAATGGATTTTACAATTCAATTCAGGTTATTTATTTAGGGTCCGTTCACCCAAAAAACGTATCCCAAGACAAAATCTGCAAACACAGGGAGTTAAGAGTATTTTCAGTTGGATGAGGTACACAAGGTTAATGAAACCAAAATATAAAGTCAATAGCATTTAAAGTGATGGAGAAAACTAAACAGAGAATCATTAAACCAAGTCTACTTTATACAGGAGGGAAGAGTAACGGACTTAGGCAAACTTTGAAGCACTGAACCAGGGAAACTTTCTGTATGAAGGGAAAAATAAAGTACTTATGGATCATAACTTAAAACTAATGGTTAGGAGTAATTTGTCTGGAAAGGAAACAAGAACTTAAAGTTAATTCACAATTACCTGCATATCAAGAAAAAAAGTTGAAAAAATGTATTTAAAAATGTTTTATATTTAGATATGTTGATAGTTAATGGGTTGTTTTTTCTTCCTATATCAGATGCCTCAAAGATCCCAGTAGAGAGCGACACTGATGATGATGGAGCCCCTCGTATCTCCCTGATGGAGATGCTGGAAGAGCTCAGCCTGACGGATGCAACAGGAGAGGAGGGAGCAGACATGATGACAGACTGATCAGCTTTCTCTCCAACTTCAAATGATTTTGAAAGCTGATCTGTCACTTTTCCCACCAGTAGCTGTGGAAAACGGTTGCAGTTTTTGACCATAACTAAAACTTGGGAAAAAAAAGCCTTTCAGGTGTCTTAAAATAACCTGTAATAGTACCTGTAAATACATTTGAAGCGGTTTCACTTGTATTTCTCTTCTCATCAGAAAACTAACAATATTAAATATACTTTATCATACATAAAAAATGTTATTTTCTTATTTTTCTTTAAACTTCCACCAGAGGTCGCTTTGAACTAGGGATCATGAAGTGTGGACCCTACATTCAAAGAGCTCCACTTGCAAGAAAGCGATTCAGTGGTTTAATTTGGCTGCCATGACCAGTATGCAAAATCATCCATATGCATTTTATGTCCAGATAAAGAAAGCCAAGTCTGTGCTCTGATTGTGATGGAGCTGCACATGCGCATCTGATTTACATATACTGCCAATGGCTCCATTATTGCCAACCACTCAGCCCTTCCTGATTTTCCTTGTTTATTGGCACTTTATCAAAGGCAGATTTGCATTTCTCGCCTGAACTTAGCCTCCATATGCAAAGGATCTCCCAGAGTGCTGTCAGTAAGTAGTGGTTTGGGAAAGCCCTTGTTTTGAGAAGAATTTGTTTTTTAAGGTTAAGACATAATTGTAAAATGAAAAAAGAAGTATTTTTAAGGTGCAGTGCAGGGTGTAAACAAAACTAATGAGAGTGCGAAAGCTGTTGGCAGACGTCAGGGTGTGTAAATTGTACACATTTTGCGTATTTGCATAACAGTCTATATTAAAGTCTAGCCTGCTTTGACTACAGTGAAATTGATTAAATATTGCAGCGCTTTGCAAAAGCATCCCTGAAACCTTTTCAACTTGATCATGTGTTTTATTGAGATTTTGTGTGTTAGACCATCAGAAACTGATGCATGATGCTGGAGCATAAGGAATAGACAGTTTTCAAACATTAAAGGCTGGCATACATTCACTCATTTTGAATGATATTGATTGCTTTCAAAAGTTCTAGTTAAAAAAGGGGACGAGCACGTAGTACGTCCTTACATAAACATATCACCAGAATGATTGACAGTTAGGAGGACCACTTATTTTGATGATCCACCTGGAAATAGAACATCCCCCTCTATACCTTTAAATAATGCCCTGGCTTTAAACATATTACAGAATGCTGCTCAATCATCCAAAAAGAAGAGCTTGATCTGTTGGAGGTGGAAGAACACTGGAGACTGGGGCCTTTATACAGGAAATTAAGCCAAGAATCTACAGCCAGAGCTACAGTGGTACCAGTTAAAGTAGAATTAATGTAGGAAAATACTACTTTGCAGTGTTTCTTAGATAACTGTAAATGTGAACACTCACCACAGCAAGCGTAGCCCCACAATCACAAATGACACTTGGAGAATATGCACATGTAAATTTGGCTTCTTTAGCATAACTGTTACTGAAAAAAGTATGGTTTATACCATTTAACATTTTATGGTAGCCGCATTTTATCAGATTCAAATTTATAAATCCCCCAGTGGTAAAAATTGAAATAAAAAGAAAAATGGTAATTACAATTCTGACAATTTACCCAGTTGTTGGAGTTTTTAATCATTAATTCAAATTGATCTTTTATCATCACAACAATAAATAATACGATAAATGCCCTAGTGTGAGGGGCCACTAGCAGATTTTGCTCTGAGGATCTCAGACTGTGAGCTGCGCTCTTAACAGCAAAACCAAAATTGAAAATCAGTTGTTTGATTGCGAGTCAGGGACCCAGTGAAGATTGTAGGGTAACGTGGGATCCTCTCAGCAGAGTTTGGTACCAGCTGTAATCAGGCCAGCTTATTTTTGTTCAGAGAAGTGAACAGGCTAATTCAGTAGTCTAAATGTGAATTAACATCTCAGCTCGTACACTCAAAAATATTTTTAATAAGTATACTTAATAAATACATAAACCTGATTATGTATTTCAAAAATACTTTTTTATGAATATTCATCATGTTTTATTTGATAGGTTTATGTTATGATTATCTAAGAAAAGTAAATGGTAATTTGCTATGTAATAAAATTACAAAAATCTTAACATTTGGGTGAAACATTTTTGCAAGTGTAAAGACTTGGAGCTGTAATCATAAGAAAGGATTCTGCAAAGTTTAAGGCGTGGAGGTCCTCAGTAGAAATGTTCCCCACACCATCATCTTTGTGTGTCAAATTTTAAAAAGCTTGTAGGGATCCCTCATTAGGAAGAATTGGAACAAAGTCTGATGGTTATATTGCTGTTGTGGCCAAAAAAAATAATATTCACGGGCATGTTTTTGATGCGCTCTGTCAAACAGTTATAACCGGCGCCCTGCTCCTATTTTAAGATGCAGTAAGGAAGGCTGGCTTAATTTGTCGATTCTGATCCACTGGAATGGTTCAGGGGGCTTTTTTAAAATGATTTTAAAGCAAGAGAAATCAGGAATTAATGTATTGTTTTTTTTTGTTTTTTTTTTACAAGATTTCTTGTTCTCCCAGTTTTTAAGCATTTTGTCTCCACTCCGAAGGAATGTGTGTGTTGCAGAGGGTCTTCGTCTTTGGTGACATGTCTCACATTTTACCTTGAGGAGAACTGGTCTCGTTTTTCACAAACCTGAGCTAGTTGTTGATCGTAATCAGATCCACTTGGGAAAGTGAATGAAGTGAATCCACAATGTGTGTGTGTGTGTGTGTGGTGAGTTTCTCACTATTTTCTTTGTATTTATAAAGAGAGAACAAAATACATTATTTAATCCACCATCAAACTGTTGTTAGTGGTATTTTAGACTCCATTGGGAGACAAATCTGATGTCTCTTGTGGGAATATTAAAAGAAAAAACCTGCACTAAAGCAGGTCAGGACTCAGAGGGTCATTTTACTATTAATCTTAAACTGAGATCTGTGATAGGACAGGTTCAATTTCCATTTATACCTTGACAAATAAAATAAAGTGTATCCATGCATAACAAGGTCTCTTTATCAGCACTGCTTGGTGTTTACACATCAATAATGCAGCGTCACAACTGAGCTGCTCAGCAAACCTGCAATTAAGGAGATAAGATTTCCTACATCTGTCCAGCACCCCCGCCCACTAAAAACAAGGTTTTCTTGCTTCAAAATTGAAAATAAGCTCAGAAACATGTTCTGTGATGACGACTTATTCGGGTTTTCCGAACTACTATAATTGTTCATTATTGGCTCTAAGTGCTGCATTGTTTCAGAAACTCCACAGTGGACCTCAAGCGACTATAAATTAGTTCCCTTTTTACTTGAATCTCTTCATTTAAAATATCCATGTGAAATTCAAAAATATTTACTTAAATCTGGAAAGGAAAGTATGGAGTCTAAAGCAGAATAGGACTGGATATCAGCCAAGCTAAGAAACTTCTGGCAATCTCTCTGGTTCAGCAGCAGCTCAGCACAAAAACTGTAGCCTGGATAATATATATGCATGTGGTGTCTCATGGAGAACAGACATGTGAATCTACCCCTACCACCCCTGTGTCCTTCCACTAACCTTTCCAATGGTAATTTTCTTTAGCAATGACATTTACTGACTAATTCTTGGATAGAGGGTCACAGACTGTCACACCTGCTGAATATCTTAAAGTCAGCAGTTTGTCTATGATTACATAAGACACAAATTGCCCATGGCACACAGGGTGGCCAACTTTCCTTAAATTAACTGCCCCCTATTTAGAAACAAAATTAGAGTCTCGTTTAATTCAGGTTTGCATTAAATGTATACAGGCACAATAAAAGGCAAAGATAGATTCATAATTTTGGTAGGGCGGAGGACAATGCCTGGCCAAGAAATACCTAGTTTAATTTTCACAGAGTTGACAATCCTTATTGCACAAGATTTAAAAAAAAAAAAAAAAAATCTGTTTTTATTAATCTTATGTTATAAGTGGAGCTGTGTACTTTGAAGGATAACGCTAGGAGTTCTGTAAAAACAGTTGTGCTCTACACATCTATAGGAATCCTACCTAATCTGGAAAACTTAATCTGGAATTACCCTTTATGAAACAAGAGCAGTATATGGGGTGGTGCTTATCTCTGGCATTCTATGGGCGAGAGGCAGGGTGCACCCTGGATAGGTCATCAGTCTGTCACTGTCCATTTTAGATGTGATTAACCTATCCCCCAATGCACCTCAGGCCTTTAAGGTGGCAATAAAACCTTTGCTTGAGAAACCTCTAGATTCGATTGACCTAATCATTTATGGACCTATATCTAATCTTCCTTCCTTATCTAATATTCAGAAGAAAATTATTGCCAAACAAGTGTGTGAGTACTAACCCTGTAATAACCTTTCAGTCAGGTTCTCATCATTACACTGAAACAGCACTGGTGAAAGTCACTAATGATATTCTCATGGCCTCTGATAGTGGATTTTTATCCGATCTTGATCTGGTAGATTTCTGTGCTGTATTTGATATTGTCGATCATATCATTCTATTAGAAATGCTTGAACATTTTGTAGGGATTAGGGAAACAGCACTAGGCGGCTTATTTGTCTTATTTGTCTGACAGATTTCAGTTTGTTCAGGTGAAAGATAAGCTTAAGGTTTTCCTGTGGAGTACATCAGGGATCAGTGCTAGGGCCAATTATCTTTACCATATTTATACTCCCAATTAATAGAATTATTAGACAGCATGGGTTTAACTTCCACCTTTATGTTGATGATATTTGTTCACAAATCCTGATTAAACTAACCTGTGAAATAGAAAGCTACAAGCACTAAACTCTCTGCTTTTGATTGCAAACAACAGACGTTATTGTCTTTTGACAACAGGATTGGAAAAAGATTAGTCACCTCATCTGGATGGCATTAAATTGACCTTGGATAATGTTACGGTATATAAAAAAGTTGAAGTTACTGTTGATCAGAAATTATCATTTAAATCATATATCAAACAAGTTTCTAGAATTTCCTTATTTAATCTCTGGAACACTGGAAACATTTTAAATATATTTTGTCCAGGGGTGAGGCTGAGAAACTAGTCCATGCATTTGTTTCTTCATGGCTTGACTATTGTGATTCTTTACTATCAGAAGGTCCACAAATTGTAGTTAAAAGCCTTCAGCTGACCCAAAAATGCTGCAGCCAGAGGCTCCTTTCCTCTGGAATCAGCTACCAGTTTTAGGTCATGAGGCAGACACATTGTCTACTTTTAAGGGTAGGCTTAAAACATACCTTTTTGATAAAGCTTATAGTTAGGGTGGCGCAGGTTTTCCTGAGGTATCTATAGTTATGCTGCTATACGCTTAAGCTGCTGGAGGACATAGGGACCACTTTTCATCATTCTGCTTCATTATGTCTTTTTTTTTCTTCAATTCTGCAATATTTCTTAGTTCAACACCTTAGTTTATATTCTCTCTGCTTCTTTTTTGTCACAGTAGCTGTATCTGGCCTTGTTCTGTTTGGCTGTGAAAACATCCTGTATTGAAATATCAGCAGGGTTACTACCATCAACTTCATTAAAAGATAATAGAGTTGTGCCTAATTTTAATACACAGACTTGTCTATTTCCAAGACAACAATGGGCTAATCTTTTACTGTGACTGTAAGCACTCTCTTTCAACCTTTTGGACATGAAAACCAACTTAAAGCTCATGTACTTCTCCTACACAGAACACCATGTGGAGCTACTTTACCTTATGTTTTTAACATAGTATTTTCTATGTTCCACTTTAATGTCTGCCTTAGTCTCCTTGAACCCCAAGTCTTCCTCGATAGAAGGCCACTGATACTGAGCCTGGATCTGTTGGAGGTTTATTCCTAATAAAAGGGTTTTTCCTCTTTACTGTCTCTGCATGCATGCGCAGTATGAGGAATTGCTGAAGAGTCAATGTCATAATGCAAATGAATATCTACTGTCGCCACATCTCAATGGAGTTAATCCTGCATAGGCAATGAAGTCAGATGAGTTTCCGTGGATAGAAAACCAATCCGACTGTATGATCTGATTGAATTGTGCTTTGAGATGGCATGAATTGGGAACTGGCTCTATACAAATAAACTGAACTGAATTTGATATTCATAAAGATACTTTATATTTTTGGAAATAATTTTTCCAGAGTTTAGAGGAAGATTGGGGAGGAGCAAAGTTAATATCTAATTTCTGTGCTAAATATAATTTATATTCTTATATAATCCTATGTATCTAAGAAACTCAGTTTCTTAGATACGTTGGTTAACCAACTTTTTTTTGTATTCAAATGTATTTAGGTGGTCCTGTGGTTTAAAGGAAAAGTCTGATCAGCAAGAAATAACCAATGGGTCATTATTTATACCTAAAGTGAATACGTTTATGGTGATTTAATGAATTTAGTGTTCAGTATAAATCAGTATAAAAATTAAAACAATAGTTTTCATGGCAATCACTGAACGGCCATATTTGCCCAAATATAGTAACACCTCACTCCTGACATCTTCCGGTAGTGAGGTCATGGTGCTGTAACCCTAGCACCATTCTCCCTGCTTTACAAGCGAAATCAGTGGGAACTACTAGACACAACTGCAATCAACAACAGTTATTACAGATTTCAAGAGGCTTTCACCATTGAAATTAACGAGAGCTATAGTTAAACTAACAATACCCACGTGCATGGCAGATGGATGTTGTAATACATCAAGTAAAAGTGAAAAAAAATCAGTTATTTCACCTTTCTAATTCATGATTGCCAACTTGAAGAGGGAAGATTTGCCATCGAACTTCTAAACAAAGAAAAAACACGTCATTAAGCCGTTACTCTCTGCTTTGCATAGTACGCTGGTCGTCACCATCATAGATAATAGCATGGTGTGACAAACACCAGATACAGCACTGGGACTTGCTCAACAGCTGATACCGCACTGTGACGTCACAAACCGGTAGGGTCCAGAAGTGCTCTTGGACAAACATGGATGTCTCCGGTAAAGCACATTCAAATGAAATTACTGTTAATTAAACACACTTGTCATTTATTGAAAAGTATGTAATAATTTCATACTCAAGGTACTTTCAGAAGTTTGTATTCTGAATCTGACCGGACTTTTCCTTTAAATGTACAAAAATAATTTTTGAAGCAATCAGATCTGAAGCTGTTCTCAAATTTACCTTTATACAGATTTTTCTTTAATGTTGAAAATCAGTAGCCTTTATTTTGGCTTTAAACACAGAACAACCCAGTTGCTGGGTAGAAGCAATTCTATGATTAGAGGTTTAGTGCGGCTGGAAAGGTAAGATACATTTCAATGTTTTTTATTTACATGTTCAACACCTCGTATCTGAGACTTTCCTGTATTTTTGTCTTCTTGGACATTCTGTAGCAAAAGTCACCCGGCTTTTCCTGACCTTAAACTCTCCTTCCCCTTTTATACGTCTCCCTCTTTGGGCTTGCAATCCTAAAATTGTGAGTGTATTTAAGAAGGTTAATATATACAGTTGTGCTTGAAAGTTTCAACACACTCCCCATACAGAAAAGGATAAATTCACAACAGTAATTCTATTAACAAGAAACTGAAAAAAATAATAAATAAAAACATACAAAATTATGATTTGATAGATTGGAATATTGATTTTGGTTTGTGATTTTAAAAATATTTTTAAAAATGTGTGTTTGTTTATTATTAATATTTCTGTTGAACCACAATTCAAAATGAATGGCACCATTTTCATTGAATTTCACTGGCAGCTGATTTTTTTCCATCTTTAAAAAGCAGAGGCGTAGCCAGAACCTTTTTTATAAGGGTGACCAGGCAATAACCAATGTACGCTGGGGTGTGGCCAAAAGTGCGCCAGAACCTCATGGTCAATCTACACTGTTCCATCAGGAAAATAAATGAGCATAAAATTTTGTATGCATATATTTAAACATCCGTGCTTTCTAGATAAAAGGTATAGTGAATAATATGTTTCAGGTTTGAGTTCTGGGGCAAACATATTTTCCATTGTCATTACTTACCTACTTTTATCAATAATCATTCTGCATAAAATTGATATTTACAAGTACTAATATCTACATAAATTAATAATTTATTAAGTTTTTATTAAAATAGTTATCTATGATTTCACTGAAGACTCCTAGATGACTTGCAGAAACACAAAATTTTTCTTTACCCCATAAGACAAAATCTAGTTCTGAAAAGAGCAAGAATTCTGTATTTATCATCTTTAATATTAGTATATTAATGTGCATAACCACATATTAAACACAGTATTTTTGTTGTCAAGTAATTATTAATATATGAAGATTTTTAATATTTTGAATATTCCTCTTGAGAATATTGATGCTGCCACCATCTGTATTAAGGCTGATTTATACTTCGAAACGAGGTCGTCTGCGTAGGTGTCGCAGTGAATGCAAAGACGCCCCGCCCCCCTCCGCAGACACTCTGCTGGACCTCTCCCGCAAACAGTGCCGCAGACAGGAGGCAGGCTTGTTTTGTTTTCATTACCGCCATTGCAGAAAACAACTCGTGAAGCTGGACCAGCTAGAAGAGCGATGCGCGTGAGAACGCAGGGACCCTTTTTCCACCTGGATCCCTGCTCTTTTTCGCCGTCATGTCTCTCCGTTGTCGGACAAACTCGCCCCCACTTCCTCTCTGCCTTGGCCGTTTCTAGACCCACAGCATATAGCGCAGATCACGCTCAAAATCGAGCATGAATCAAAAATGTCTGCATCAAGCTCACTGCGACACACTCCTGCGGGGAGTATAACCAGCCCCTTAGGGAAGAAAACATGGTAGGAGTGGTCACAGATCGGTTAGGGGGGGACATGGCCACCCGTGGCCCCCCATCTAGCTCCGCTTTTTATATAATAATTTCTTCTCCAAGTACTGTATAGTTTTTAGACTGTTTTATATTTAGTTTGACAGTTAAAAAAACAAAACATATTTTAGGGGTGCTATGTTTCAATGTAAGGGTGCTTCAGCCAACCCCCCCAAAAAAAATGGTCTAAAAGCGCCTATGTTGCTGGGTGTCTGTGTCTGGGCTGCTCCCTCTGCTGTTGTTGCTGCACACTGCGTCAGACCGGGTGGGGGGGCTGGAGAGGTCTGCGGCGACGCTTCTGGTTGTAGGATGGCGGGACAGCAGCGCCAAGGATGCGGTAGAAAAGTTTAAAGATGCGGCACAAAGCAGCGCTCCGTGCATGGCGCATTCCAGATGCATCAGCTCCAGCCGCTTCTCTTCGGCCAGCTGGATCATCGGCCTCTGCGCCAACCGGTCCTCCTCCTCGGTCGCCCCACCTGCGTGATCTGTGAGCCAGGTGAGGGGTTAGTGTAAACACGAGCTGTGGGTGTGGTGCAGTTTTCAAAGCATGTAAGAGGGCTGCATATCTATATGTATATATTTAAGAGAGAGGCGAGCAGGTGAGACGGCTTTTGGTTTCCAGACAGCAGCGGAGATAAAGCAGCGGTTCCCATCGGCTGAGGTGAATATTAAGATGTTTTTGTGTATTCCATGTATTTATTATTCACCATAAAATTATAAATCCTCATGTATTTTTATTGGACCAAGTCTTTATTTGATATTTGTAGCTACTTTTTGTTGCCTATAATCTTTACTTTTGATTAAATTAAATTAAATTCTCGCAGTTCTGGTATTATTGTTTTTACCTCTACCACTGTTTTTAACTTATAGTTTTCTCACAATTGAATATAAAATAAAATAAAAACAAACAAGTAAGCAGGGACACGTTTACCTGTTGGCTCCTCCCACTTCCAAAGTAGCAGGAGCTCCTCAACATCTGCAAACATTTCATTTCAAAATCAAACACCGTTTCTTTTTTTTTTCTTTTTTTGTATTTATTTATTTAGGTTCTGTCAGAATTTCATTGAAACTTAAAAATAGGCTCTGGCTGAGAACCAGGTGGGGAAATAGACAGTCACTGCTTCTTTCGCTTGTGAATAAACCCAAGGTTGGGGAAGAAAACAGGTGGTACTATGAGGGTGATGTGGGATCTGCAGGCCAACTTTTAATCACTGGCACTGGCTGCTTTTAGAAGTGCTAATGCAGAGCCAGCACAGAGTTGTATGGACCTGAGTAAAATTGGATTCAAAGTCAAGCATATTATCTACTACAGTACCAATATTAATCTGATTTCTATCGTCAGGTGAAGTTTAACAGTGTTTCAGTGTAAATTCAGTAGAGTTAAAGATGGGGTCAGACGAATGTCTGTTATGGTTACAAGCATAGCTGGGAAAGTGTCATTAGTTATTGCTTGTCTGATTTGCAATTGATGTGTGCATTAAAAAATCACGGATAATAACAATTGAACTTTATTGATCTCACATTGGAGAAATTCAGTCTCTGCATTTAACCCATCCCCTTGGGAAGGGGTGGGCTGCCATCGTGTGGCATCGTGCAGGGGAGCAGTGTGGAGTTAAGGGTCTGTGGAAGTGGGTTTCGAACTCAGAACCTCATGATTCCAAGCTCTATGCCCCAACCACTAGGCAGCCATTCCCCATATAAAAAAAGAACTATGAATCAATTTAAATATAAATGTATACGTGTTTCTGTACAATTAATTTAAAGTTTCACAATCATTAACATTTAAAGTGAATTTTGACATAAATGTAGCTATAAATTTGAACTTTTATCTCCAGTGGTCTTTGTGAGATGTGAGTGGATTTTAGGGTCATCCTGTTGGTCTTAGAGGTGTAAACAGGAGCAAAGCTTTTTCTTATTCTTGTCTTATGTCATATTTCTCTGGTTGCATTTTCCTTTGCTTATACTTATGTTCTCACAGGAGGCGGAACAAAAACCATATAATCAAATCTAAATTCTTGCCCTTTACATAGAGATTCAATCTAGCAGATACATTGTCAATCACATATACCGGTAGTTAAATATGAAAATTGACCGCTTTTAGTAATAGTTTTTGATATTATAACAGTTTTTTCTGTCTCCAGAAGTCAGAAAATGTGTCTAAGTATTTTTATTACTTTAATGACATTTTTATTTATTTATTGTTTGTTTCTCCTCCAGCTGGCAGGATGAACTTCAAAAACATGAGGGAGTATTTGGCTTGGATATACTACCAGTACCTGCTCATCACTGGCATCTACGTCCTTGAACCATGGGAGAAGTCCATTTTTAATTCTTTTCTCTTCTCCGCCATCGCAATGGTGGTCTATACCTCATACGTGTTTGTGCCCATTCACATGCGCTTGGCTCTGGAGTTTTTCTCCGGGATTTTTGGTGGACAACCAGAAAGCACCATGGCACTCATGAACTAAACAAAGGAAAAAGACCGGAAGAAGGAGTGGTTTGTAAATCATTTCCATGTGACTAAACCTTTCTGTCTTCACTTTAACCACAAACTAGACAGGTCATCATGACTGAAAACGTGACGATCCTGCTGGAATGATCTGGAAGCCTTACCTACTACTTTTGGATCCCACGCCCTCTCGCCTTGCCCAATGGTATTACACAACAGTGCTTTAATTTACTTCCCTTGTGAAATGTTTGGTTTTTCCTTTTCCTCGCCATATGTCCTGTGTGAGTGCATACCACCTTCAGGTTTTGCATGATAGGACCATAGATGACAGGTGGATTTGCATGCTTGTGGTTAAAACAACTCACAGCTGTTCTTTTTCCTCCTGCTGGCTTCAAGCTGCAAACTTAATTAAGATATTCCAGCAGTTTTGACTTTTAGTTTGATGAGAGCTGGACATTGTGGAAGAGACTGAGATTTGAAATTGAAGCAGCAAACTTTCTACAACCTTTTTCCCCCTTTTTTATCTTATTGTGATTGAAATGGCTCTTCATTACAGATAACATATATAAAACTCGTTTATTGTTTGATGGCACTTTTCATAAAAGCCTTAAGATAAATTAATCTTTTATCGCAGTAGCCTAATATTATTTTGTCTTTATTGGCATACATTCATTAAATGAAGCAAAAAAAAAAAAATCCAATTAGAAGTAACAAAAAATATTAATTAATTTTATTTACACAATGACAGGCGCCACTTTGGTGGCCCCACTTTATGATTCCTAAAAAGTAATTGTGAGTTAATTATTTAGCTAATTTAAATTTTTTTTCCTACATTGATTAGAATGTCTAGGATTTCTTGCCATTATCAACATTCAGAGCAAAAAAAAGAAGCTTAAAGCAGCTGGAACTGTGACAAATTAAGCCGTTTTGCTTTGAAACCGTAGATAAAACAAAATCTGTATAGCTCACTGTTAAAAAAACTGCAACATTTTATTTAAACTAGAAGTTGTTATTGCAATAAAAGACACGTTTATCTTAAAGGTGACAATACAGCTTTATAAGTTGTTGCATATAGGTGGAAAGCGCTGTCATGAACTAAATTTGGAGAGGCCCAACAACGTCCAATCGGGACTTACATTTTATAGATATGTAAATCTGCTGTGATTTTTCTCCATGTGTAATAAAACAAACTGGCAATTATGTCTGACTGCTCAGTTTGAGTAAACACCTGAAGGCCTGTTACATAAAGAGTTGTGGAGTCCCATAACAACACTTGGCAACTGCTCTCACCATGTCTGCTGTCTGTGTTTTGGCTCTTGTCACCCGAAGATTGATAAGTTTGTCTAATTGATAAAAAAGATGGGGGTAATCACAGCTGT